ACTCATTTTACTGCTACTGTGCAGCAGGTTTATAAGACTTTATCTCATTGAAGGAAAAAAATATAAACTGAAGGCTATATTTTTCAGACCCACTATCTCTATGATATAATAATAAGCTGAAACTAAAATGGCAAACTGTCCAGAGTAGGAAGTCATCACATTTTCTTGTCCTTTTGTGGCCAAAAAGATCACTAGCTTTAAAACAAGCATATAGTGTTATCCTGTATACTTTTATTCCCACCTGTAATTATAACTAGCAGTTTTTCTTTTAAATACAGAGGAAAAACCCAGTTCTGCCAGAGGAAGCATTGCATTTTATGAAGTCTCAGGTTTTAATTTGCCCTGAGGGTTAAAAATGAAGCTATTTTTTCAGTGCAGGTCTTCTGCCATGCATGGCTCCTATAAGCCTGCTTTTGCTGTAGTCATGTAGTCAGCTGAGCATTACTAAGGAAGATCACTACATCATTCATTCAGAAGCTGGGAAGGGAAATATTCCTGCTAAAAATGCTTATAAGTATTTTCCTTGCTCCGCCTCCATTCATTTCAGCTCCTCCTCTCCTCTCTTAGTGCTGGTAGCCTACTATATTTAAACAGCTGTCTTAGAGCAGAGGCAGGATTCAAGGCTTGTAGTTTGGTTGGCTTTCCTGACTGTACAAGCATTTTCATAAAGATCTTGCTTCTCATCGAACCTGCTGCTAAAGGTAAGAAGGCTATAAGTAGATGTGGAAAGCTCTGTCTGGCATACTGTAACACTGCTTTCTGAATATCACAGGGGTGTTTTTAGAAAGGTATTATTTTTATGTACCAAAAGGTGAATTTTTTCCACGTACTTTAATTGTTTGTGGGGTAACTGGCCTGTCATGAAGAGTGATAATGCAAGTGGAGGGGGAAAAAACAAACTTCTGAAACTTGTAGGCAAGTATAAAATGTAAAAGCTATTGAGATTTCTGTTTTTTAAAAGTACTAATGAATTAAATTAAATGCTGGTGAAATGAATGGGTTGATGAAGAAAAGAAGCTGACGAAAATGGTTGCATTTGTGTTAGCATTGTTCTTGTTTAAACCTGAGTGTCACGGTAGCTCTTTTAGTCTCTTCCATTATTCATATATACTGACTGCACTGCTCTCTTGAACTCTCCCCACGTGCTGTACAGGCCATACTTGGTGGTCCTTACTTGAGCAAAAGTTTCATTGATGCTATAGGGAGAGCTCCTTGCATATGGCTGATGTAACTTGGCTTTTTATTTCTGCTAAAGATCATTTAGTGTCAATGCATCTTTGCTTTTTCTTTTACTCACTTAAAATCTGTTTTAGTTGTGCAGCCTGGAACTACTAAGGGCCACACTGACCGACTTTATGTGAGTTATAGTCCCTCTAGGCTTAAGGCTGTGTTAGGAAGGTATGCAGAGTTTGGACCAGAATGAGCTGGGTGCTTTTCCAAGCCAGAACAATTATGTAACATCACATAGACACTGAAGTGCTTTGGAAGCAGCGAGGAGATAAACTGTGGAGCTTGCAGCATGCTCCCAAATGAAGAGGAGGAAAGAGACACCTATTTAAAGTAGGAAGCCTAAAGCAGGAGTCAAAACAGGCATCAGTGTCACTAAGTTGACTAAGTGTGAGTGCCCAGCAGCCTACTCTACATAAAAGACGGGTGATAGAGCAGTCTTGGGTTTCTTGCTAGCTCAGGCTTTCTCTTGCTGCTGACTAGTTCTGTATAGATTTGAAATGCACTTCTGTGTCCTGCATGCTTTTCAGTAGCTTCTGCAAGAACAGGCTTTCATCTGCTACACTGTATTAGCTGTACAGGTTATTGAGGTATATGTGGTCCCTTGATTCTAAGATTGCAAAAAAAAAAAAAAAAATTAAAATAATCCACCTTTACTTCTAGTGGCAGGAAAAGTGAACATTTGACCTGAAACTGAAATGCCTGAGATGCTCTGAGCTCAGTTTTACTCCCAGAAGTCAAATATTTAGCCTATAGGATGGGAATAGCTATAACTGAACCAGGTTCAGCATCTGGTTCACTTTCTACTTAAAAAGAAGAATTATTAACTATGAATTACAGAGATGGCAGCTATAGGATGTGGAAAGGACTTCTCCCATTTGTAGAGACATGCTAGGATAAATAGAAGCATCTCTGGTGGTTAATTGTGTATTGATAGAATTGTCCAGTGTCAAAACTTCAGGAAACAAGGCGTGTAGCACTAAAATGGTCATTATAGGGTTTTGTGAACCCAGATCCTGAATAAAACCATGGCTAAAAATGGTCATATAGCGCATGGTTCTAGTAATTTCATCAGAATAACAATTGTGCTCCTCTAGCCATTAGGGTTTGGTTTAATTCCAATGCTCCATTTAATGCTCCAATTAAATGCTCCTTTTTCATGTGTCAGAAGGTACAGAGTGGAGGAGGAGGGTGACATGAGAGTGTTATCACTAAGCCCGCGGCTGCTGGCTTTGCTCTCTATCAGGGTGGGGTAGGGTGGCATAATGCAATGGCCAGGAACCAGGGCAACCTTCCTCTAAAGCAAACAAGACTGCCAGGCTGACTTCTACTGTCTTGTGCCTTTTTTGTCCTCTTCAGGCTCCCCCAGAAAAACGCTGGCACACAACAGCATGACTCTGCACCCAAGTCTTACAAACGGGCTTGCAGGCTTGTTATTTATATGCTGGCTTTGCTACTGTCCCGGAACTGTTGCCATGTGCTGTACTGGGTTCGTTCAGCAGTCCTTGCTTCCAGCAAAAATCCCATGGAAGTTGCTGGGTTACCACTGTCTACAGAGCACATGCAGTCTTTCTGTGCATGCTGCTGCAGAGTGCTGTGGAGCAGAAACCTGGAAGATTGCTTCCAGAGATCTTGCTTCCCTCTTCTAGACTCCAATAGTTTCAGAGAAGTAAGATGTGCACTCTGTTTTAGGAAAAATTAATAAGAACTTGTCTTCTTGTGTAGTATAGCCATGGAGAGGGATTTATTTGTTACAGTGGAGAAGAAACCTCTGCTAACCTTCAGATAGGTACTGTGGTTTAGCTGGTTTGAGGGGAATACCTTACTGGTCGCACCAGTGTCCTGTTCCTTTGGTGTCTTTGACCATCCCAGGTGCTAGTGCTGAATTCTACCAATTGCAACTCTGGAGCTTTGTGGTAGGGCATTGTTTGGGGGTAAATTTACACACCGATCTGCTGAAGGTGGTGCAGGTTTTGGTTCATGCGGCAGAACCTGCCCAAAAGGCTGGGAAAATACTTGGGCAGTTAGGCTGTACTCCTGCAGCTACCAGGGTTGGGTTAAATACGCCTTAAGGGGTTGATGCATGCCTCAGTATGGACACAACACATGAAGTGTTCATCTTCTGTAGTGGATGCATCTACCTTCAAGTCTCAATTAAACTGGGAACCGAAGTTTCCTTGAAATCCAACTCTCTTCAAAGCTAGATGCTTGAAATGACTTAAATTAGAAAGAATGACTATTATGTCTTTAAAGTGGTTCTTGCCCTGTCAGGCAAAATGCATGAGTCTTAGACTAATGCTTAGTTAAGTGGTAATAGGCAACCACTAAGTGTTATTAAACTGTGATCCAAAAATTTGAACAAAGCTGCTAGTTTGGAATTCAACTTGTAAGCCTTATGTGCTTCTACTTGGATGAACCCAGAACTCTTGGAATAGCTCTGTCTAGCCCAGCGATGGCTGTATATTGGTGTATATGAGGATTGTCACATCCTTGCAGGCAAACGCACTTACAAGACTCCTCCTGAAGCCTGGGATTCTGCAGATCCTCAACTCACCTGTGGTTTTCTGGCTGCTCATTCAATCACCAGGGTCTTACTGCACTACTGTAGTTGCTGGTGATATAAATGTCAGGCTTAAAGTGGCGCATTACACTTGTAGGATGACATTTGCTGCAATAACTGTGTGAAAGGCAGTGATATGCCAGACCTTATGGGAGTGCGCAGTGTGCTTGCCAAAGATCTTTCTGCGCTTGAAAAGGGTGTGGAGAGCATGCCCCACTGAACAAAGTCATGCCATTCAGTGATTTTTTACTTAGCTTTTCAAAATGAGAGTTATGTTTTTAGAAAAGACTCTGTTCTCTGTAGAATAACTTAAAAGCTTATGCTGAATTTTGAAAATTTCATGTTTACTGTGGTCAAAATAACTTTTTAACTTCTCTAGATTAGTGACAGTATAGTTGAATTCCCTGGAAAACTAAAGAAGTCATTATTTGACATGGTAGGATTCCTGCAGGAATGGCAAAAAAACTTTGATTCACTGTTCATTGAATATCTGCACAACAATCGGATGAGTTTTGTAGATTCCACTCTAATGACATCTTAGTCTCCAAGATAATAAATTTGTTGTATATTTTGTTTAAAGACCTGTTATTTACTTGTTCAAGCGTAGAAAACTCTATTTTCTGGAAAATTAAGAAAGAAGGTTCAGGAACTAAACTAGCACGTCTCAAAAAAAACCCTTTAGCGATGGAATGGCACATATTTGAAAATGCAGCCAAGAGATTTCCAGTCTTTGGGCAGATGTCTTGAGTGAAGTTTGCTCTACTTATCAATAAATGCACAAGTTGCTTTAAAAAGTACAAAGCATTCATGAATGGGTTCATGAAAACTATGGCAATAATATTTTTCTACACGGTATGGGCAGAAGCAAAGTTTTCCTTAACAAGCTGCAACACATCAGTTACTATAGTCAGAGGGTTACTGAAGTTGCCAGCTGTTCTGGAGGGCCTGGAATTTGTGTGTGGAAGGGAAAGATAAGGGTCCTCTCCCTTTTTTTTATGGTATAATCAGAGAATCATCTTTTGGTTTTGGGGGCAGGAGGAGACAAAGATAAGTAGCCCTGTCCTGAGTGTGGAAGTATAATGTGATGATCTGCAATGCAAGGATAATACTTTAGATCAACCTGGGTTTGTAGGCTGTAGAAAGTCATGTGTTTTGTCAAAAAAGCAAATAATTCAAAAATTACTTGTTTTAACAGGTAGACTCCAGGACTTAAATGCTTCCGGACAGGAAGATGTATGCATTATTGAACAGACCCCAAAATAAGAATGGGTTTAAGCCACTGCCTGTTGTGATCATAGGTAAGTTTTCTCCTGCCAGCGTTGCTGTTTTCTTTAGTGCTGTTGTTGCTTTGGACTTGCTGTCTTCAGCTCCTGTTCCACATGTTTTTACTCAAACCAGAAATGCCTGGCCACTCTTTCTGCCTCCTTTCCCTGACAGCCAAGCTTTCTCTAGTACTAAGAGAAAGACCCCTAAGAGTTGTGGGAAGTAGGGAACCAGGTATTTGACAAACAAAACCACATACCTATCTTTTACTAGAAAAATTGGTAACCTTCTGGGCATCAGTTCAGCTGGATCTGGTTTTTCTCTGTTGGATATTTAGAAGTGTTTGAAACCTTTTCACTACAGATAGTTAATCAACTTGCTGTGAAGTGATTATCTGTAGTGCTTGAATTGGAGGTGTGTTTGTGTGATCTCTCTTCCCCATTGTGTGTGTTCAGAAAGTACTTCAGATGCTGTTAATGTTTCTTGAAATTTTTCACAGATTTCTTTTAAAATGCAAGTCAGCTACATTGATTTTATACAGATTTAATAGAATGGTAAAAAGGGTTTTCTATCAGTTTAGAAAACAGATTATGTAGTAACCATCTTGTCTCGCTTGCAAGAGGGGAGCTTTGTAATGTGAGGTGATTCTTGGAGCAAAGCTTGAGTAGTGATGTTAGTGCCTTCCCCTCTGTGACCGATCGTTGACTGTGCTTGAGCACAGATGTTGGACCCTGTTCATCTGACCATGTGTTTAAATGCCTTGCAGAGCTGGGTTCCTTCCTTATCTGTCATCTAATTTATAGCTCCCAAGAGAGCTAGTCCAAAGTTAGTGCACCACATAAATCACACTTAATCCTTGCTAACAGTGAGTTTGACAAGGACACTACAACCAGCAGGTTCTAGTCGGTGAGTGACTTTGTACTGCCCAGTTGTATAAATCTTCAGGTGGGAGGGAGGATATTTTGGTACATCCCCAGTGCACCTATACAGGGACCCAATATGGATACATCACTAAAGCCTCAGAAGCCCCAGTGTGAAGATGTGCGCTCTGAGGAGGCTGTTGGACTGAAGCAGCTCAGCTGTTTCACTGCAGCTGGCCACTGCACACAGGTTCCAGCTACTTCCCCAGGCCCTGCTCCAAGAAGGCTGTGGACTCCCTCTGCTGTGCTGGCAGCCTCAGGAAAGCAGTTGCTTTCTAGAATGGTTTGAGCCCCAGAGGCAGCTGTGCTTGTGACCATCCGTATCAAACTTAGGTGTTGTTCAGAGTAAGTCCCCTGTGTGTGTTGCTGAGTGTTGTGCACTGAAATGATTCAATTTGGCTTAGGTACCTCCTTGTACTTCCTAAAGCAAAGGAGTAAGCTGAAAGGTGTTACATTTTACTATAGCTGCAGTTTAGTTTGCTTTTGATTTCTGTTGCTGTTGGTTTTGGGTAACTTTCCTGCAAGTGGAATATTCCAAACACTGACCTGCAGCTGCTGGTCCTCGCTCAGCACAGCAGACTTTGGCCCCAACTGTGGCACATGCTGCCCTTCACATAGCTCAGCTCGCTGTTAGCTTTACAGCCTGAGCCTCCCTCTATTTCAAATCCCCAAGAAGCAGCCTTTGCTCCAGTCGCTCACGCACACGACGCGGGCACTGTGTCAACACAGCCTGTTGCAGGCTGCTGTGTCACTTCAGCTCTCCTCCCCTACATCGTCACTGCATTATGTAATGGTGGTTAGTCACATACTAGTGAGCAGCAAAGCCTGAGCAGCCAGAGAGGTTGACACCTAGTTATGCAGACACTGTAAAATATTAAACACACTGGAGAAACAGCCATGTGAAAACTTTCCACGGGCTACTCTCACTGGGCTTTGGAGTCATATATATCAAGTTTTTCCACTGGCTGTTGGGTGGTCAGCAGGAGGAGTTCAGTCATCCAGCAATCTGTTCAAAGTGCTGTATTCTGGGGGGTGTCTTGACATGGCAGAGACTTTTTTCCTTAACACACTGCCTGCAGTACCATGGTAGGGCTGGTTCCCATTTGAAAGTGTTCTTAAGACCCGTTAGTCAAAACTGCTATTGCCGGATATCCCTTATTAGATGGGATTTCTTACTGAGCAGAGCTGTTTCCCCTTCACTCTAATAGTCACTCTCTTTTCTGGACTTACTGTGTATCCTGTGCACAATGAACTACACTGCACTGGTGTGAAATGTGCATCCAGGAGAGCTGAGACCCACAGTCAGTATGTGACCAGTTTTTAAACCTTTGAAGAAGTTAATGAGCAGTAACTCAATTCATCAGCATGCTAGAGACTTCAAGCTTCAGGTGAGGTTAACCTCTAGCTTGTTTAACTCAATGTCTTTTCAGCAAGTTCTGAAGACCTTGCAAGGCAAATAGGTGCAACTGGGGAGGAGAAGGGGACATAAGAGGGCAAAACGACTTCCCCAACTCCATCTAATAGGTCAGTGGTCAACCTGGAATAGAAAGACCCCTGTATCCACAGCAGTGTCTTATCCTTTGAATTGGTCTGGATATTAGAAACACTTCTCAAAGGGCTGCTCTACCTGCAGGAGTATAAATTCTTCTCCATTGTGTCTTTTTAGGGAATGGACCTTCAGGAATTTGTCTCTCATATTTGCTGTCAGGCTACATCCCTTACTTCAAAAGAGACTCTCTGCATCCTCATCCCATTCTTCAGAGGAAACTGGAAGAGGCACCAGATGTCTCCATTTTAGACCAGGTTTGTGTAAAGAGAAACAGTATGACATCGTAGTAAAGCATCCTAGGGGTATATTGTAAGTGATAACCTCATTTGAATTTTCAAAGTACACAGACAGAATGAGCCTTAAGCAAAGTACTTCTAGTTGTCCAGATCTCCCTTGTATGAAATGTCAGCATTGCTGCTAAGATTCTTGAGGTAGTCCTTGGGCGATAACAGGGTCTGTGTGCCAGTAAATGAGCTTCACAACCACTGATTGGAAATACTGGAGTAACAAGCAGCCTGCTGCCTGGTAGGACGTGCATTTTGAGCATCTGATGTGCCTCTCTTTAGGATTTGGAGTATCTGTCTGAAGGCTTGGAGGGACGATCCCACAGCCCTGTGGCCCTTCTGTTTGATACTCTTCAGCGTCCAGACACAGACTTTGGTGGAACAGCAGAATCTGTCCTCACTTGGTGGCACGAGACTGACAGAGCCGTCCCCCACCTGGTCCTTGGCAGAAATGCTCCTGGAGGTGCCTGGCATGTATGTGAATTGAAGCCTAACTGCTTAGGTTTGCATGTTGTAAGATAGCCAAATGTGTTGACTGGAGAGGCAAAAGCTCCTCTAATACTCCAGTCAGACACGTTTGATTTTATGTATACAGACAAGCAAAAGTTTAAAAGGAAAAAAAGCACAAGGGGCATTTATATTTCCAGTCTATAGTTCTCTTTGGACAACATGGATGGTTTCATCCATGACAGCAGATCAGAGGAAATAACTGATTTAATGATCTGTTCCATATTGAAATATGACAAAATTGTTTTTCACTTCTTACATTAAACAACTAAAAGTCATTTGACTGTGTTTCTTGTTCCAGTCTATTGAGGGCTCTATGATTACCCTGAGCAGAGGGGAATGGATGGGACTCCCAGATCTCCCATTCAAGGACTGGCTAAAGCAAAAGAGAAGGTAAGATAACGATGATGTGATTATTTGCAAACATCCAGAGGTTATTTGGGAACCTGGAGTGGAGTGGACTTCTTGAATGTAGCTACCCATCTGTTACAGATGATTCTAGTGAGAGAAAGGACACTCTCCCCCACCTCAGTAAAAGTCACTGAATGCAGAATGGATTCAGGTAAAGTTGCAGTGCTGCTTGGAATGTGTCCTTCTCAACACCTGCTGGGGAGATGGATCACAGTGACCATGAGCTCTGAATAAAGCTTGGAAAAGGCATGGTCATCTGACTTCTGTGTCTACTGCTGCTGTCCCTAATGACAAGTATAATCAGCTCAGCTACTGTGCAGTCTCTGAGGTGCTTCTGCTCTTGAGATGTGTAACAGCTAATCTTAAAAAGTCCAGGAGTTAAAAATGGAGTAGAAGCAAGATGTGAGAGGAAAGCATAAATGAGCAACCATGTTCTTAGGGATGGGATTCATGCTAGAGAAAGCTGCTAACTACCTGAGTGTTAGCTGTATATACCAGGAATAACTTTGCTGAAGTCAGGGAAACTAGATAAGTCATCTCTGGTAGTGCCAGGATAGATGGCTCTAGGATACGTTCAGTGGAAGAGGGGAGAAATTCCAGTCTCTTACTTAACTGCTGCTTGACCTTTGTTTGTACTTTATTACAGAGGCCTCAGAAACAATAGAGCCACAGCAGAAGACATTGCTCAATATTACCAACACTATGTGATGAAGAAAGGACTGCAGAAGAATTTCAGATGTGGTACTGTTGTGACCTCTGTGAGGAAAGTGAGTGCAGAGAGCATCTCCAACCATGCACAGAAAGATCTGCAGGAGAATAGTGACTCACTCTGGAACCTCAATGAGAAAAGTACGGAGGTCTTTCAGGTGGATGGATTTTTCAAAACTGTGAAAGGTGGTAAAGAGCCCTTCTCTGTCTATGCAGAGAATGTGGTCTTAGCTACAGGAACATACGATAGTCCTACTTGGCTTGGGGTCAAGGGAGAGAACCTTTCTTATGTCCATCACCAGCTGTCTGCCCTAGAGGAAGCAGTGAAGAACAACAGCATTGGCATCATGTCAGATCCAGTCTTGATTGTAGGTGCTGGTCTGACAGCTGCTGATGCGATTCTCTTTGCTCACCATTGCAATATTCCAGTAATCCATGTTTTTCGTAGACGAGTTAGTGATCCGGGTCTTATTTTTAACCAGCTCCCTAAAATGATGTACCCTGAATACCACAAAGTCCATCAGATGATGAAAGAACAGTCAGCTGCTTGTGCTGGGCCCTATGAGTGTTACGTTAGCCTTCCTGAACATCATGTGCTATCCTTCGGCAAGGACAAGAAATGTATCTTTCAAGACAAGAATGGCTACCAGAAAGTTTATAAAATTTCCATGGCTCTTGTTCTAACTGGCTCAAACCCCAACCTTTCCTTTCTGCCAAATAATGGCATTGACTTGGCAATAGACAGTGACCAACCAGTCAATCCAAAGAGGAATCCCATAGATGTTGACCCATTCACCTATGAATGCACTCAGGAGAAAGGGCTTTATGCTCTAGGACCTCTAGCTGGAGATAACTTTGTACGCTTTGTACAGGGAGGGGCTCTGGCTGTTGCCAGCTCTCTCTTAAAGAAAGCAAACAAAAATCCCCCCTAACAAAAAAAAAAAAATCCCTATGCTAACTGTGTCTGAATAGGTTACTGCTGTTTTCTTAGAGAAGCAAGTCATCTGATTTGTACGTCCTCAAATGTAAAGCCTGCTCCTGGTATTTTCCAAGTTTATGCAGAGAGTTACTAAGTTCTTGCTGAGTTATTTGAGAAGATTAAGTCACCAAATACAGAGTGGGTTTCACACATGGCAGTACTTTCAAATCCCTTGGGATTCAGCTCCTTTCCTGCATAGCTGTGCATGAAGGCTGCAGGAGCTTTGAATCTTGTGCCTGGAAAAGTAGAGGCCAAGATAGTGATTGCTCTTCTATATAACACCTTCCAGGTTGCTGAAAATTGAATTGGGGAAACAATAAATGTTAATTATTTCCAGACAGCAGGCTGACAACTCTGTGTCTGTCAGTGTCTTACAGTGTTTTTTCATGAAACAAAATAAGCTGACATGGTTTTACTTGCTCCTGTGGCTTGGCTGTATGTTCTTATTAGACCAGAAATCACTGAAAGATGCTGCAGGTACCTCTCTGGCACATGAAGTGGTACTCTGCAAATAAATACTGACATAGAAACAGTCAAAACTGTATTGTCTCACTGACACCAGCAACAAGTAATATGTAATATCTTTTTAATCAAGAGATTCCTGTGATAGCTTTTTTCTTCTTCGTGAGAAGGAATGGTACTAATTTACAAACACTTGGTTTGCCATCTTGCAGCTTTCTACTTTCTAAATCCTAAAACTGCGATAGCCAAATTGTTGGCAGCTGCTGTAGAGACAGCAGAACTAAAGGGGAGCTACTGGTCTGTCTTGTAACTGCCCAGGTACTGTATGGGGCTTCTGCTGCACAGAGTATTTCGGAAAGACACAATATGTTACATATTTGTGAATTTCTAATGTAATGTGATATTTTTAAAGAATATTATTTGTGTAAAGGGGAAACTGGCACAGTCACTTTTTATAGTTTTATGCTCTATATAGCATTTTTTTTATACTAGTTTTCTGAAAGATTTTTATTGGCAAAATATTTTGTTACAGGCTTTCAGTCAGTGTTTTGAATGAAGTGGGGTGGGTGGGAATGATGCCTTATGTTGCAAACAGCATTCTCAACAGACCTACAGGGCCTTTCATACCTCTCGCAGGACAAATCGGAGTCATAGCTAATCTTATTTAATGTAAAGACAGACTCTGCTCCCTGTGCTGCACTGAAACTCACTGACATGACAGGATGCTGCACATGTCTCTGGAAAGCTGAGTATGTGGAGACAGTGGCTGTTCGTAAATGAATCAGCCTTGAGTTGAGATGTGTAAGGAGCTTGTCTGTGGTGTTGCTGTATCACACTTTGGAATATTTTTGCCACTGACTATTCTTGTATGAAATTTTTCAATAAAGTGATTTCAGACTCAGTCTGCGTTTGTGTTTTAACTCTGACTTTGAATCTCTGACCCAGAGAAAGTCTAATGAACTGTTCATCAGCTTCCTGGCAAGCACCAGGGTGTGGTTTGTGCCTGCTAAATCCTGCATCTCTCTGCTCCCTAGGAGTGCAACACTGGATTTGCTTTCTGTGTACCTTCCTCTCTCCAGTAGGATGGAGAACCCTTGTGGAGTGCTTTGGCAGTGTCTATCTCCTGTGAGGCTAAAACACAATACCAAACCAAGCTATCTGCCAAGCATGTTCTTGCCTAGGGGATCTTGGATCTCTTTCCTGTCACCTACTGTCTTCTCCTGTCTGAAAAAATCCCAAATCCAGTAAGTCAATAGTATTTACTAGTCTAGTAAGTCAATACACAGTTTAGATCAGAAGGGACATTTGAAGGTCTCTGGTCCAACCCCACTAAAACAGGGTAAGCTTTGATGTTAGACCTGGTTGCTCAGTGCCTTGTCAGGGAAAGCTTTGGGTATCTCCCAGGATGGAGATTGCACTAGCAACGTTTGATTGCCCAATTCGACCTTTGTTGAGAATTGTGGGGTATTTTCTTAACTAGCTGAAGTGTCCCTATTGCAGCTTACCTACTGCCTCTTGGTTTGTTGTTTTTCCACTGCACAGCTCTGAGAAGAGTCTGGCTCAGTATGTTAAAACACCAATCCACATTCTTTTCTGAAGACTGAGGCTGGAGGGCCCTCAGGGTTTTGTGGGCACAGAGGTGTGGTGTGAATGAGTTTCCTAGTCTGTGTAATTGCTCAGAGGGGTGGCAATGCCCCCAGGGCTCTCTTTAGCAGCATTGCTCTATATGAGGTGGTAGTTGTTCGCCTGAATCTGTTATCCTGGCAATATGGAGATTCCTGAATATGGATAATGTGGTCCTGTGCCATCTTACATGGTTTTAGTATATGTAAGAGAGATGAGCTGATACGCCTTTCACCTTTCCTTATGCTCCTCTTCAGAGCTTAGGTCCTAAGCAGTGCAGGATTGTGCTAGTCTTCTCCTGCAGCTGACCTTTGCTAGGAAAAAAAAAATCAGTGATCAATGTTCACCTTTCTAAAAATACCATTTTTGACTAGGTCTCAAATTCCTGCATCAAAAGCAAATGAGGTGGAGAACAAAAGCCAAAGGGCATCTTAAAAAAACAAGGGGCATCGGAGTGTGCTGGGAATAAGGGCATAGGGTTGGTGTCAAGTGAAATGCTGCGCTTCCCATCACTGAGATCAAAGTCATGGTGTTCGTGCTGATCATTCCTGTATCCCATATTGTGTTACCGTGATCTAATTTGCCCTGCACTGGGGAGTTCCTAACTAGGGCAGCAGTCTGTGCCTGTGTCGGGGGAGCTTGGGTGACTGTGTTTTAAATAGCCCGTTTTCTTGCCCAGGAGGGATGAGCTGATTGCCTGCCCTGTGTGGGACCGGAAAGGGAAATGTTTTTTCACAACTGACGCTTAGAAAATATCCTACATTCTGCCCTGGAGGGATGTCAAAGCAGAGGACCTCAGTAGCAGAGGTGGTGGTTTACTCATCAACAGCGACAAGTCCTTAGGGCAAGGCTGCGCGGTGCTAAACCAAGTTGTCATTCATCTGTATCCAGGGAGACAAATACGAATTATTATTCCAAAACACCAGCCATGAGAGTCAACAGATACCAGCTTTGTTGTGTGGGATTCACCCGTGCATTGTAACCTTGACCTACAGCATGTGACGGGACCAGAAAAAAAATAGTCTCCTCCTGGGCCTTCTGCACATCACGCGCCACCGGTGGGAGTGACGCAGCTTTGGCAGGTGAGATACTAAATGCTTTCACCACCGTTTCCATTGCTGCGTGTCAGGCCCAGCCGGGGGGTTACCTTGGTGAGTTAGCTGGCTATTTAAAATTGGAGACCGCTCTGTTTCTCTGTCCCCTGCAAGTCCATGCTGCCCAGTGGGAACCTTCTGCAGCCACAGTGACCAGAGCAGGTCAGTCTGGGAAGCCTCAAGCAACTCCCTGCTCTGCTCAATTGGGATAGAGCAGCTTTATTTTTATTCAGACCTCTGGCTGCTGCTAAGAGGTGATGTTCGTCAGTCCACAACAAGGGCTCTACGTTGGGCACCCATTTTCTGTCCTTCAGGGCTCCTCAGCCTCCTTTGGTTTTCTCCCCGAACTGATCAGCCCCCAGTTTGTGTCTTTGCAGAACAAGCCCCTAAGGCCCACTGGCACTTGCCAGGAACAGTGGAAAATTATGCACCCAGAACAGAAACAAGGATTTGCAGTTTACCAACAAGACAAAAAAAGAGAATTGTGTTTTTTTGATGTTATTGTGCTCACGAGTCCTTGTAGGCAAGGCTGATGTCTTTTAAATAAACACGCTTGCGGGTGTGGCAGAACTGACTGTACAAGTCTAAACTCAGGTACCTTTTATTACACAATTAACATACAAACCTACTGCTTCTGCTTTTTGCTTTGGTGAGGGACTTATGAGATGTCAGAGCATGTTCGTTGTGAGCTTTCGCTTCTTAAATGAAGGGAAGGGTACCCTCTTTTTAAAAAGAGCCATCTTTTACATAGCATCTGGATTGAAATTATTTCAGTAAAATAGTCTTGGGAACCCCTTTGGTTGTTCAGCATTCACTTTTTTTGGCCACACTTCGGTCTTTGAGCACGGGACTAAATCCAGCCTTGGCCAGAACCACTCTATTTAAAAGGTCTACAGAGTATTACGATATATTGCAAGTCTGATGATTGCCTAAGTCTTAGCTTTATAAGGACCCTCAGGGAGCTGTGAGACTGTTGCAGGCTGTGGCGGCTTAAATTAACCTGCTTTATTTGTGAAATGTAGATATTTGTGGGCAGGCCAGCAGCCAGCACGTCACTGCCAACCGACGGCTCCTGAGGTTGTGTTAAGCTGCTTGTAACTGGGGGGCACTTGGTGGGTGGACGGTGGGGGGTGTCTTCTGGCAGAAGGGGTTTCAAGCTGGAACCAAGCCTGGAGGCTCCAGGGAAAAACATCTCACTTCCAGGGCTCTGAAGCAAGCCACGAGGGTCGAAGCAAGCTCCTGGCTAGAGAGGGGAGTAAGAAAAGGGAGCACAAATTTTGTTGCTATTATTGGCTGGATCCCGCCTTCTGCCAGAGCCTGGAAAGCTGCACGGATCCGCTGTCCAGGAAGAGTTTCCTTCGCTGTCCCTGGGAACCAAGCCCTGAGGCCCAGGGCAAAAACTGGATCCTCTGCTGTGCAGCTCACGGAGAGATTCTGCTCCGGCGTGGGAGGGGAAACATCTCATGGTATTCCTGCCTTTGGCCGTATGAATGTCCCCTTCTGCTCCATACGGGCACCCATATTATAAAGCTTGGCTTAGAGAAGCAGGACCTACTAATATATCGATTTACAGGAGCCTGTCTGAGGAGGGGCAGAACAGGCACTTTCTGCGAAGGAAGCAGAATGGATTTTGTTTTCCAGCCCAGTTTTTGCTGGTTGCATTCATTTCTTGGAAGCGCTGTTGATGGTTCTGCCTGATTTTACAGCTATGCCGCAGGAAGCTGGAAACGAGGGAGAGGAGGGGAATCCCAAGCCAGGCAGCACGCATGCATGGACAGCGTGGCCCTGGTCCGTAACCGGCATCACCGCCAGCCGGGAAACCCTGTTGGGAAGGTGCAAGCACTATTTATTTAAGATATTTACCCCGCAGGTGGATTTCCACATCTTGGTCTCACTGGAGGCAAAGGGGCTGGTGAAATAACCGCAGGAACTACCTTTACGAACTGGGACACAGCTGCGAAGTGCTGCAGTCCCTGGCCGGCCGAGCCAGGGTGTTTAATTACAGCCCGGCTATCTCCGGGGGTAAACAGAGCTGGTTTGGCCGCGGCGTTAGACCAGAGCCAGGTCAGAGGGGGTTTGCTTGGTGAAATAGCGGCTAACTGCAAGCCAGGAATGAAGAGGCAGTTCAACAGGGGTTGTGAGCGTGTAAAGTTACTGCTGACGACGAAGTGCGGATTTTGGGATATTATATTGGGTAAGTCTCCAAATTTGAGTTGCGCTTTTATAGACCACTGAACCTTTTGCCAGGGAGGCAAACTTTAACCAGAGGACAAGCAAAGGGCAGGATGAAA